ACTTGCAATTTCCCCTAGCCTGGGGGTGGTGCAAGTTCCAGAAGCGCCATAAGGACAAGGACGGTGCAGCCTAGAAAGTGGCAGATCTTGAGATGCGAGATTTGGGGTTGGCAATCTCCGCCTTGACAAAATGTGTTCCCCCTTTGGGTGTGTCCTTCATTTCCACTCGAAGTCAATCAGAAACATAAGATTAGGGCAGAACGTTGAGCTAAACAGACAGCTTGACACCGTTCCAAAATATACGCGTGATGAGTTTATCTCAACATCGCATGAAACGCGATTGTATTTGTCTGCTCAGACGGTCTCTAAGGTCAACGTTGTTTCCCCAAGAGTTTGCACCACCAGTAACAGATTCAGCGAAACAACACGCATGTATCGAACTGGCTCACACATGCCCCCATCACTCAAACGCCTTCCGCAGGAAGCTTGGATTTTTTGCGAGCAATGCAAAGTATGGGTCGCCTGTTTGCAGAGTGTCTTTTTTCAAGCTGCAAGTTTTGGGGTATGTTCCCTGGGTTCCGTGTGACCTGGCAGTGTCCATGTAGGTCCCTTTTTGATCCTGATTTGGCCAAACACACTGGACTGGGGTTCTTGTTTCAATGATTTTTCTAGTTTGATCAGGTTTAACTCGGACCAGGTTGGTTCCGAGCAGAACATCCAGATGATCTCATCCACTCATCCGGATGACCTGAGGTGACGGACTTTAACCATCTTTCAGTTGGTGAATAGATCATCCTTGTACAAATTGGGTGAAAGATGGTGAAACGCCAATCGCCTCATCACCTGAGGAATGATAAAAGATGCCAGGGGTTGGCACAGGTACATCATGGTACATCGAATCAACCTATATGCGCCATATGCTTCTTCAGCAAGATTCCCACCTTTGGCAAAGGACAGTCAATTTCGACCATCCCTCACCCAGTCACCCAGTCCTTCTTCGCTACTCACCTGTGTTTTTTTGAACGGAGGTGGCTGTGTGCCACTGGGATGGAGACTGGCGACATTGGCTCAGCCGCTTGGAACTCAAAGAGTTGTGAGCTGGGGGGCAGGTGAAGTCTTTGTCACCAAAAAAACCGCCAAGACTAAGGAGTTCAAAACTCTTGCCCCCAAACAATTGAAGTCTTTGGTTAAACCAAGTCGTTTTTGCAGTTTGTGTCCTGCTCTGCTTGGAGTATCCGATTTGTTCAGCCTCTTGTTGGGGACGGGGTCGTATCAGTGAGGCGGTCCAGACGTCGAGACTTGGATCGGCTGCTGGTTGGATCCTTCCCTCAGTTGATGAGGGTTCCCACATGGGATTTATCATTTCAATGCTGGAACACCAGTGAAAGAAGAAGATGTGTCCATGAAATACATGATTGCAAGAGATTGCAAGATATTGCAAGTGAAAAAGAGACCTAGTAGGTTGGAAGTCAGCCCTAGTAGGTTGGAGGCCATCGCTAGTAGGTTGGAGGCCATCGCTATTAAGGTTTTGCAAGTGAAAAAGAGACCTCAATCCAAAAAAGAGCCACGCGGCCACGTCGCCTGGTGGTTTGTCATGGTGTGTCCATCTCGAGCCACTCTGAACGGCCTTTTTATCGGAAGCGCGCCGATCGATGGGCACGGGGAATCCAGCCGGGGCGAGAAGATGTTAAGGTAAACTAACCAGAGGGCCCCTCCTTGGTTCCAATGTTGCTTTTGCGAGTTGGTCTTATTGCGTGATCTGAGTGACAGAGACATGATTCGAACCTTTCGGTGTTATTTCCAGAGAGCTGCATTTCTTTGAGTGGTTCTGGATGGTTTGGAAAGATGCACATCAACCGAATCCTTGAAGAAGGCCCTTTCAAAAAACCTCACCTTCTCAACCAGTTCTGAGAGCAGCCTCTGGCAGCCCTGACTTTTCGTCCAAGGCAACGAGCCCAACGCATTCGGCGCCTGTGAGCACTTCCAAGCGTCGGAGCGTGAGAAGATGCCGCTGGGCACCGGGAAGTGCACAGATGTCCGTTTCGAGTTTCGGGTGAAGAGATTCTGAGGCCGACCTGGTCGGCTTTGGACGTTTTTTCGATCAAAGACACGGCATGACCAATGGCCGCTGCGTGTTTCAAAGAACTCAATGTCCTTTGAGTCTTCTTGATTGATTTCGGAAGCAGGAGTGAAATGATCAGGAACCTCCAGCAGACCTTAGGGGACATGTTGTTAACCTTCCGTCTCACCACACAGTAGACAAGCATCCAGATGCATCCGGTTCCAGTCACTCTCTATTTTTGTGGCGGAGTAACTTGGAGCAAAGTTTGAAGAAGTTACACCACCATGTCAAGAGACGTTGCTTTTCAATTAGTGGGAACTTGGTTTCGGGTGGTCTTGTGTGTTCTTGGTGAGCAACTCGTTGGTGAACATGTTGAGGCCTTAAAGGGTCCGTACAGCGATCCGCAAGGTTTCAATGCTCCCAGTTCAGTCAGACTGGTTTGGGGTCGTGTCAAGGTCTGAATCGAGTGAACGGGTCCACTGTGCTGTAAATCAAGGGTATATATACATTCTCAATTGAAGAAGAGGATACGGCGATGTCGCTTTTCATGCCCGTTCTGTACGGTACAGAGTGATTGGGAGGAGATTCCACGGGTCAAAACTTTGAATGAAAGAATCAAGGCTTTGGACTGAGAGGGCAGCCTTCCCGGTGGAAGGTGATCGGGTGTTTTGGTTAGACAGGATGCAGATGAGCCCAACCTCCAAGCATGAGGAAAGTCACCCTGATTCCACCTTGCTGATTTGGTTACCGGTCGTAACTTCACCTTTGGGAAAACAACAAGGTACATACTGGTATACTTCTAAATTACAATGTCGCACCCAATTGCACCTTACGCAGGCGCCCCGCCCAGGTCATCTTTGCTGCTGCAGCGGTCGCAACAGTGAGCGATCTGAGCTGCCCAGAGATCTCCAAAGCCTTTGTGGTCCGTACGCCTGCGCCTGCGCGGCGCACGCCGGCGCACGGGCCGCCGCCCACAGCGGTGCGACCGCTTCGTGGCTTGTTTTTTTCCCGAACGAAAAGGAGGTCGCTCCGTGCAGCATGCGCCACATCGCATTGCGTTAGACCATAAGGACTTGTACTGCAAAAAGTTAACATTTGGCTTGGAGATGGGTTGAAAAAGATGAAACAGGTTTGCCAGGCTCACCGCCTTTCAGGTGTTTTCATTCACTCAACGATCGAGTCTAGTCCAGATGGTTTTTTGGTGATTAAGGGATTTGCATTTTGTCCAGGTTGAATCTTCTCTCTATGGCTTCAGCTTCGAACAATCACCTCTCAGCATCCCCCAGCTTTGGTATGGCAACTTCCAGCAAATCCTGCCATCCAAAACAGAACCAATCCTTAAGGGTCGACCTATCTAGGACCTCTAGGATTTAGCTTGATTGCCAACCTGTAAATTGAGGAAACCATGCATTTCGACCAACACCCAGATGCATCCTACAGCACGAGCTTCATCTCATTCTATATATCCTTTTTTTTGTGGCGACCCACATCCCATCCACTCTGTCCACCCTTCGGTGCGCCGAAAGGGCACAAACACCAGCAGCTTCATGGGCGCCGCAAGCAGTAGCTTCGACGTGGAGCTCCAGCAGGCCGCGCTGGCCGAGGCGGAGCTGGCGGTGGACGCCCGCAAGGCGGGCTCGCGACGGTGAAGTCGAGAGAAGAGGAGGAGCACAGCGGCCCGGCTGGTGAGCAAAGTGCTTCAGGGGTTGAAGGTTTGACTGGTGTTCTCATGTGTTCTCCCATTGGTCAAAGAAATTGGAAGGCTTCCAGCTTGAAAAGAATAACTTGCAGAAACCTCATGTTTTCAGAGCCTTTCCTTGGTTTTTTCGGGCGGAGGGCTTGGGAGGGATTCTATTGAGGAGATTGAGGCACATTCTGAATGTCCTTCAAAGGTGTGTCCAACGGCAACTCCAAACTGTTGAAGTTACCCGCCGACCACTGCACCTCCAGATGATTTGGAGCTGAACTCTTCAGGAACTCTCGAATGGAGAAACCGACACAGATGGAGGATATCTCACTGTTGACCTTGGTTTCAGTGTGGGAATCCAACAGACCAATTACAGATTTTTGATGAGCGCTACGAGCGAGAATCCCTGGAGGAGCCCAGATCAAGTGTGTAGAGCTGCGTCGCATATACCTTCCATGATTACACAACATAGCAGACAGGTAGTTTGAAAATCTCTTTTTTTCTGCCAGCCGACCCAGGTGGTTACTATCTTCGATTGGCGTTACACACTTTTGTTGGGGGCGGCACTCAATCCACTTGCCTCCCCCGAGCAGGCACGTGTGGCACATGTGGGACTGGAGAACTTCAACGTGAAAGCCTTCACTGAGTTTCTTGGTGTCCAGATGTGTCGAGTAATTGCTAAGTTTCTTGAACAAAAAGTAGGTGGTCTTCGGAAACCTCAGATCATCTCAAATTTGTTTTCCCTCTGTCAAAAACCCATTAAAGGGCTTAGATGAGGCAGCTTCTTCGCACGTCAAGAACGTCCCCGGGGCCTCGCGTTAAAGAGAGAATCAAGACGTCGGATGAGTCGGAGGTGCACAGGTGCTATGTGTCGTTTTCGGATGTTTTCGGCGGTGTAGCACTTCCATCCTTGCTCCTTTAGGTCGCTGGCTTGCGAGGGCCCAGGGACCAAGGGCTCGTATTTTTGCTGGGTAGCGCAATCACAACGGAACCATTCCCGAAGTTCTGCGCTCAGCTTCGGGCTCAAGCCTCGACCAATGAGGTAGTTGCACATGAAGTGTATCATCATGGACAGCACAACTATGATTTTGTTTCCTAAGTAATTAACCTCACCCCGCCCAAAAGAACAAGATCAAAAACACTTTAGGTCAACATTCACAGTTCCAGGGTTTCACTATAGGGATGTTCCCCACAGGTATGACCCACACTGATCACACTGGGCCGAGTGAGGTCTCAGGAACGCTCGGACCGCACCTCGCACCGTTTTTCATCGCCGAGCTCACCCCGCTGTGCTGTGGCCCTGTGGCCGCCATGGCGAGCTTCTACTTGGCCGCCTCGGCGGCGTTCATCTACTTTGCGATCGACTTGACACTTTGGGTACTCCAGATGGTTGCAGCTTGGGATGACAACATATTCCCGGCTTCCACTTGTGGATTTTTTCCGCCACAAGTGGAATTCATGACATGCATGAGATGGCTTAAATGGCTTGGTTCACATAATTGAAGGTGTGGTTCCCCGTCTTCTGATCCATGAAGTATTGGAACCCAATCGAACTTCCAAGGTCGGCGGCGCACGAAGACAGCGAACACCTCACACTGAAAGCAGTGTCAAAAGGACAAAAACAGTGGGCTGGTTAGTCTAGCAGTCCCAAATGCTCAGATAGCTTGCTTTTGAGTTCTCATTTGTTTCGAAACAAGTCCCATGGACACCCCTCCAAAGAGATGCAATGGTTCCTGAGAGGTGGTATCGACGTGGGTCACCTGGGCACCTCCTCGAAGTGGTCTTTCCAAGCAGAAGAGAAAACCTCTTTGGGTTGATCCCAAATGCACCAAAGGCAACACCTTCACAGGTCGCTTGATCAAACAAAGCAACGGCATCATTACATAAGTTTCGTGCTGCACCCCCACAGAGACGTGATAGCAGCACGGAAGACTTTAAGTCACCCTGAGTCATCCTCAGTCCTGGTCCATCCAACACATCTGAACATCTAAGTATTGTCACTTATCCAACAGAAACAAAAACTCATCCACCAGACGAGCTGTCCACATCCATCCGCCCTTCCCACCAGGTTGCTTACAACAGGGCCTCTATGATTACTACTGTGATTGAAATCCTGGATGACAACGCACCGCTGCTGCTGTCACGATGCCCCAGCTGGACCATTCCCATGGTCAACGAGCTGCGCGACACATCCTGGGCCGCCCGGATGTGGGCTGCACAGCCCCTCTGGGGTATGTGGAATTAAAGGCCTTCGCGGATGGTTTGGATGGGAAGTCAAACTCTGAACTCATGACCTGCCTTGGAACAGCTCCTGTGTGAGCTGGTGGGTTGCTTTCCAAATGCTGAGTTGGTCAGTGGTAGTGGTCAGTCCTCCCATGCGCTTGGGAGTGGCCGGGACTTGTTTCGAGATTGCCATTCTGCGGGAAAGGTGTCCTTTAGGGCATCCATTTTTTGCTTTTGTACAAGTATGCACTCAGCCTTTCAGTGCACTCCAGATTGGTCCGAACTTGAGCAGTGGCCTTTGATCAGGCCTCCGCGCAACACTCGCACTCTCCGACAAACCATCGAAGTGGCTTTGGAGGTACAGTAAAGGAGCAAGTTTTCGGCCATGTTCTGATCACAAGTATAAGGATTGAACTACCGTTTGTGTTTGAAACAACAAACTTCTCACTGGTTGCTGGCATGTTGAAGAATGATCGGATCATAGGGTGCCCATGGAAGAACCGCGTGAGCTGGGTGCCGAATCACTTGCCGGAATCTCCTTCCTCTTAGCTGGCCGTCCAGCTCCGACCGAGCTGGCGGGGCACTCCACCGAGGTCGGCTACTGCACCTTGGGGATCTACTCCGCGGGGGCAGCTCTGATCACCTTGGCGGGCTTCAGCTATCAGATGCTCGGAACGAAAAGGAAGGACCTCACTGTGGACGTGATGGGAGCGGACACGGATGTGGGACGTTGCTATTTGGATCAATCACTTTCAAGTATGGAGATGCCATTAAGGAATCTCTTTTGGTGCAGCGACACAATCGGGTGACGTGGTACATATGACTGTAAACCTTATAGCGCGTGTTTTTTTTTTTTTTACTTTTTCCCTCTGCTTGGCAGGGTGTTGCAATCCCGTATGTCTCAACGTGACGTGACCACGCAAATCCCGGTTTTTCAGGTGACTGGAGGGGCTGCGTGGCAGAGGAGACCAATTGGTGTCGTCAGGTGGTGTGGAGGTAAGCTGAGTGGCCGAGTTCCTGCTATACATGTATTTGGCCATAGGATAGTGTAGTTAAAAAGACCTAGCGGTAAACATCGTCATGCAGCTTAGTCTGTATGTTGTTTTTCACCCAGATTTGACTCTGGTGACACTTCGCATGTGTCCCTTCAAACAAGGAACTAACTCTGCGGGCTGGCCCTACATGGCTAGCTTTTTAGTCGACTAAGCAGCAATTGGAGACACCGACTCGATTCGCTTTCAAGGCTCTCCATTTGTGCTCCTGGTGGCTGCCCAAACACTCCCACCTTTGTGGTGCATATCCTGGCCGTGTCTTGACGAAGTCAGTGTGTCTGGTGTGTCTTTGTAGGCGATTGTAGATGCAGTTGGTGTAGTTGTAACGGCATCATCATGCAAGCATTGTAGAAGACCTCGGAGTGGCGCGGGAAGAGCAACAGTTGTGACAGTCTTCAGTCCTCCTCCAACATGATCCAAGCAACGCGGCGAATTGTCCACTGGAGGTCTTTTCTCTCTTCCTGTCTGGTAGTGCTCTTATCTTTACCAACATCGGCTTTGCACTGGAGTGGCAAAATGATGGCAATCCCTTCTATGGAGGAACCGAACCTCGAGTCTCAGCTGCAGCGAGATCTGCAGAAACTGGTTGTTTGGTGAGGAGCTGCAGAGGCAAAGAGACCGCAACAATGGTAGAAGTTGAGGAGTGTGTTTCAATATACACGCGACATTCAAACAGAGACTGAAGAAATGTTTTTTCAATATTCTTTTGGGGAGCCCAGCGTCTCTTTGAGAACTTTCAATGATCTGCAATACCTCTGTCCGTGTTGTAGCCTTGAGACGATGTGCAATCGTAAGGATTTGTCGCCTTCTGAGCGCTGTAGGTAGCTTCTGAGGAAGCGAGTGCCAGAACCCACAGCCTCCCAGGTTCATTTGATGGATATTATGAGAGCTCATGCTTCGGCTATGGTGGTTGTTCGGGCAGCTACGTCAACGTGGAGGCCGACAAAGACACCTGGTGTCCAACCGGAATGTCGCCCCTCGCTGATTCAGCTATCACTCTGCAGACTTGCAGTGGCGTTGCTTTTGCCATCACTTGGCCGATCCTATTGGTGGGCCTGATACCTGTCAGGATTGGAGGGGCGAGGGGTCCTCACCGTGACCGGACCGGACTGGAACGAGCGCGCGGCTCCGTGCGGTGGGCTGGGTCATGGGGCGTATTGGAACAGCCCGACCCACCGACGTCCACTGAGGCCTGTGTCCTGTTGCTGCGTCAAGGATATGACGCTTCGATATCTCGCTGTGACGCCTGCGACTTGGCGAGGATCCAAAACAGCTGGACCAATGGGACGCTGGGACACGAGCATTCGCCACCGATTGATCAATGAGGAAACCATAGTAAAACCCATTGACGTGTTGGAAGAAACATGAAACAATCAAGTACCCTACTCCCTCCCATTCAAGGCCAGATCCCTCATCATTGGCACTTGATGAGCCTTGAAGTTCAAGGGCTAAGCACCAGCCCCAATCCGATTCTTGGCATCCTTTTGCCGTACGCTTGCCTGATCATTTTCTTCTCTAAATACCCATAGAGGATGAGAGCATATGGGAACTGAACTGAAGTGGCATGTGGAGCAGAATTGCATGGATTACGTGCTCGAAGCATTTGTAAGCCCTACGGTCGCTTCACCAAAGTAGCTCGATTCCAGGCCCTTCTGGTCTCAATCCTTGGCCTGGTGATTGGTGGCTTGGAACATCAAAACTTTGAGGCTGAGGACTAAACTATGGGTCACCCATGACGAGTAGAAACTAGTAGAACGCCTGGAATGTCACCAAATGGGTCCTAGTCTGCGCAAGAACTCAGTGGATTCGAGACATGTTTTCTCACACCATCAGGTGGAAGGACGGCGAATGGATCAGTTGGGGGTCCGCATGTCCAGACTCGCCCAGACATGTGTGTTATGCGAGGTCGCAAGCCAGATGGGGGCCTGGTTGAAGGAGCTTTATGCCACGGCCATGGAGGTAGCACAATTTTACACAATCATCAATACCATTCATAAAGGCAAGGAGAAAATCTCCTCTAGGCTGCTCTGCTGATGATGGGAATCCACATTGTGTCAGCTACTTTGGGAGATAAACACCATGTCAGTTTTGCTTCGTTCCACCCAAGGTGGCATTCAGTTCCCGATGCTCTTGCCATACATCTTTGCCCATGTGCCACAGCACGGATTGGTGACAGAATAATCACAGACAGAGGGTAGGACAAGCATCAACAAAAGGAGCAACAGTGAGTGGAGGGAAATGATGGGAGTGGAAGACCATACTCACCACCTTGCTATTGTTGCTTGCTGTTGTAAACCCCAAGGCATTGGCTAGCTTTCAGTAGCTGATGCAGATTATCTTAAATCCAATATGTAGCATTTGCAACATTTGGCAAGTGGCACATAGATCCACATGGTATTATCATGCATGAGTTTATTCCCGATCGATATTTTTTGTGAACTGCCAGATGTCCGAGTTTGTTCTAGAGTGGTTGGAGGCTAGTTGAATAGAATTCCTTTTTTTGGATGCAAGATAGATGTAACATAGTATGAATTTAGGCTTTGGCTCCGCGCTATTTCAAGAATATCTGGTTCTCGAGCTCAACATCTGTATCCCAGGCACTTTGGCAGTATGTACGGCTGCTGGTCAATCGAATTGCAGGAATTGATCAAGCAAAAGTTGACAAAGACTTCAAAGAACAGCGGAATTCGGATGATGCTTTGCTGCATTTCAGACTTATCATCACATTTGATCAAGGGCAGGTTGGAAGATGTTCCAGAAGTCGATTCAATACGTCGGTGTGTTCTCAGTGAAGTAGAACGCACCACCTGTTCTTTGGGGGGCAACGATGAATCCGCTACGAAGAGGGTTGGTGCATTTGTCACTTCAGCTCATTGCAGTAATCTGTCATTGATGGCATCTGTAATGGTTCAACCAGATATCACTGAATGGTCGATTCGGGTCCGTAGATGCATGGGTCAAGGACACTTATGCAGGAACAACAGAGTGCTTGCATTGGTCATATATGAGTACTGGGCGCTGTAGATCTGTGACAATTGGAACCTTTATTTTGGTGAAATGTATGATAAGTTAAGCAATGTACAGTGATCTCAGAGTAGATGGCGCAAAAGTTGGTTCATATAACCACCCAGTCGAAAGTGGTTCAATAATTGGCGTTGCCTCTACTCTGAAACCACTACAGGCGCGGAGTGGCACGGAGTAGCGATACGGAGCTGCCACATATTTCATCTCTCACCACTGCGCGGTAGGACGTGGTGCCTGGGGTGATTGGCGCTCCATCTGGGGATGGTGATATAGGTGCGGAGTGCTTCTTCTTTTGCAACCAAAGGCAGCTCTTTCAGGGACCGTCGCAAAGAGGAAAACAAGAGGAAAGGCTAGCAGAATGCTTCAGGTGATTGATGCATAAATCAGTAGTTTTCCAGTGTAACCTTTGTGCACTTGCATGTGAATGTTTTAGCTACAATATTCGGCGGTTTGTTTCCCTGTTACAATGAGAGCCTGCTGTAAGGTACTGTAGTTATGAGCTTAATGAACACTGCTATAGCATCACATTTGCACCTCAAGTCCCATGTGCTGTTGTCATGTGAGCATGTTCCAGGATCGTACGACGATACTGGAGGCTACATGGGCTACTGAGGCCATCTGAGCTTGATAGCGGAGGCAGCGCCTCCCAAACCTCGTATCACTGAGGAAGGACACATGGACAATGTGCGGCGCTTGGTAGACTGCGCCCGTTGTAGTTTTTCTTCGCTCTGTCTGTGTGAGTTTCACAGTTGTGCCTCCTGGTTTTCGCCGAAGCAAACTGGGCGACAGGCTGTAGGACAGCCATGGTGGCATGACCAATCTGAGCTTCTCTTTGCTTAGAAGGCGTGGTGGATGATCATGAAGAGACACTAGCAACATCTAGCAACAGGGGCTACACCAACCTGTGCCTCAGGTCAAAGACAAATTCAAGACTTGGATATTGGCCGTCATCACAGCTGTAGTTCGTATAGAGTCCTAGATCAATGTTGGCAATTAACAGCCTTTCCTGACGTCAAGAGTGGCCAAATTCGTCTCATCTCCGGGGCATGGACGGCATCGTTTGGGGAACATGGGGAGGTACGCAGCATTCCACCAAAGCAGAGAGTCTAAAACCGTGCCTCCAAAACGACTGCAAGTCCCGGCTAAGCCGTTCTGCCAGGACAAGCCTATAGCGCGAAGACATGTAGGCTGACATACCCGGTCAGATGTTGGCAAATTTTGGCCTGGTTCAGTGGAAAAAGGCAAACGCCTCCGCCTGATCGACCATAGGTCGGTTCAGAGTCGTGGTATGTAGGCATGGACAAGCCACAAGGCTGAGGTCGTGATGAACTGTACCAACACTGTGCTCAGACTATTGAGAAGAACCCAATAACGAGGAAAAAACACTTAGTCCTACTGTGTTCCGCCTACCCAACCAGGAAATACATCAGAGTGAACTAGGTGAAAGAGAACATGGTTTTGGATAGTTTGGGGGGCTCAGTCTCACCAGTACTGAACACTGATATCCTCGCTTCACGACTCCCAGCATTCACGGAATATAGGTTTGGGACACCTGCAGTCACCGTCAGATGGGTGCTGCCAGTCTGAACCAAAGAGGCCCTGGTTGGCAGGCCGGGGTGAGTCATTGGAGGTTTGTATTTTTGTTACTTTAACATACTTTAACAACATGAGCACCAATTGAACAGCAAAAACCATCTAGGACTGTCTCGGATGCATTCCCGGCACCGGCTTTCATGCTTCAGATTCGTCGCCTTTCACTGTCGCTGAGGCTGGAGCCGGAGAACTGGAGGTCTACGTCTCCAATTTTGTTTCCGTTTCGGAGAGGGATTGGAGGGGAGACTAGTGTTGGACATGTTCGGATGAAAAAAAAACACAGAAATTGAAGAAAAGGAGATTGATGATGTTAATGGTCCAATATGGTCCAATGGTTTTCAGAACTGTTTTGGGGGATGTGCATTTATATGGATTGTGTGGAGTCTGATTCACCATGGAGAGTTTCCTTTTTTTCAGCCGAATTGCAATCTCATCCGTGTTCCTTTGCGAGGGTTTTTTGTCCGCTTGGCGTATACAAAAACTGATTCATGCTGTTTTTTCAGTGGTGTTGATAAAGAAACAAACAACGGTGGTCTGATGGGTAGTCACAAGCTCCGGGACGTTGAGTTACATTTAGAGTGAATCTTCATTGTCTTGAGAGGACATTCTTCCGGATATGTAAAGCAGTGGACACTTAATGTCATGAAACACCTCTGCGAAGAAGAGTCTTTCCACGAGTCCTTCCCTTTCCAGAATGGTGTGCTCGATCTTTGAGTTTGTTTCGACCCCGGGAGGCACACAGACAGCCGGGAGGACATCACCAGTGCCGAGTTGCAACTGGCCAAGCGCTGTCATGGCGCACACATCGAGACCCTCTCCCAGGACATCACCGAGGCCTCGGCCTCCACCGAGTGAGGGAAGTGAGGATGGAGCGAAGATGTCCAGGTCGGGAGTTGCCGGGAGAACGCGTTCTTGCTCCGTTCGTAGCGATGCCAGGAGCTACTAGTAGCTTCTTGTTACTGCTAGTAAGGCACTTGTTACTAGTAGCGTGGCACTTGTTACTAGTAGCGTGGCACTTGTTACTAGTAGCGTGGCACTAGTAGCGTTCTTGCTCCGTTCGTAGCGATTTCAGGAGTCCCGTTCGCAGCGTCCTCTTGCTCCTAGTAGTACGGCCAGGAGCCGTGACTATTTGTTGGACAACTCAAGGTTGCTCTTCTAGTGACTTCTAGTGAATTCAACTCAAGGCCCAGCTTGGGGGCTGGGGGCTGTCTGTGAGATTCTGTAGGTTCGTGAGTGTCCGATGTGTCCGTGCAGCTTTGTGTGGGCTCAGAAACAGACAACTGTTCTAGGCAAAATGAATTGGATGAGTGTGTCTCCCTTCTCAGCATGTCTCAGCCAAGCCCCGAACCAGGCTGCTTCCCACTACTTGCTCATCCACTATGATGTGCCGTACTTTGACGTTGACAGCTTTCGCTTGAGTGTCACCGGCCTCGTGGAGAAGGAGGGAGGAGGCTTCTCGAGGGATCCTGGTTGTTTTGGGCTCCTGCGACATTTTGGAAGGGGAGACCCTAGCAACATTTCTCTCAGGACTCTAGGTGTCTCGATTCAGGTGTGTTGGTAGTCTAGTGTCCCCCAACCGATGCAAACGACCACCACATCGACCCATCCGGTGGGTCAATCCCTTGTTGCCTTGGGATCTCGGCTCCCCCAGGAGCTCTCGGTGTCCTTGTCGGAGATCAAGGGACGCCCTGCGAGCACGCAGGCTGTGATCAAGAAGGAAGAAGTGGGTGGTGTGGGAAGGACATGCGAAAAAGCTCTGAATGTCAGCCCAAGTCACAGTCGTCGTGCCTAGGGGGCTTCTAGTAGTACGGCCAGGAGCCCCTAGTAGCGTCCTTGCTCCTAGTAGCGATGCCCTTTGCTCCTAGTAGCGTCCTCTACCCATCCCCACAGGCCGTTCTCATGGCTTGTGCTGGCACTGGTCGCATGTCGACAAAGCACAGGCCACCTGCAACTGGGCGAGGGGTGTTGGGGTGAGCCAGGGCCAATCAGGGATATGAGACCTGGTCCCGGCAGGACGCCTGAGGACGCCCAAACTCCTTTGATTGGTCAACAGATGTCAACGGCCCAAAATGACACCAGTCTGTGAATGTTTGAGTGAAGCCCGCAAGGAAGAAGGCGGATTTCGTGTGTGTTGAGGGTCACTCAAACATCCACCCAAACATCACCGGAGGCATTTTCTAGCAGAAAACATCTAAACAAATTGCGAATGGTCCCTTCCACCAGTCTAGCTCAACGAAGTCTTTGACTGTCTGCTGGCCGACTGTTTGCCGTTTGATTCGCTGCTGCACTTTCTGTTTTTAAAACATATCTTTTGCTTACTGTAACTATTTTGCCGTCCTGATTCTCTCTCCCCACTCCTTGTTCTCATCCAGACGTTTTAGCCGCAGCCTTGTTCTGTCTTTTAGCTGATTTCCGGCTGTGGGAGATGGACGGAGTGATGGACGGTTATGCCAACAAACCTGTCGAGCGCAGGTTTTGGACCCACGTGCCTTGGGGTGTAGACTCCTTCGGATGCGCCAAATGGACGGGCTGCAGCTTAGCCGAGCTTCTGCGGGAGGCACCGTGAAGATGGATGGTGAGATGAGTGAGACGATGCTGGGAAATTCACATCGTACCCTACGCGGGTTGGGACAAGTTACTGATGTCATTAGAATCTTGATTGATAAACACCTCCATTTCGATGGTGAAACCTCTCTCTTCATATGAGGGTTTATTAAACCAGAGTCTACTACTCGAATCCTGCAACCAACATGTACAGTTCCTTGACTCACAAAAAAGGAGTCTATTTGCAAACACCCGGGCGTCACCTTTGTCTTGGGCAAGAAAAATCGAAGATAGAAGGAACATCCGCAGCTTTCTCTCCACCAACTGGGTGTTGGTCCTTCTGAACTGAAGGGAATCTCAGACTTGCAGTGAGCAACAACCCTGCAAAAGAATGCAAAAGAGATATCGAGAATCAGGCATGTCAAGCCAAGCCAGAAAGTTCTGACCCAAACCCTGAAGATCCCGGAAGATCCCTGAAGACTCGAAGACCAAACACTCTTTTTGGACCTCTCGGAGTGACAACATCCTCATCCTCAACTCCTTCACAAGCAGTTTCCTTGTTTATGCCACGCTAGTAGTAACAGGTGCCTTACTAGTAGTAACAAGAAGCTATTAGAAACAAGTGCCACGCTAGTAGTAACAAGAAGCTATTAGAAACAAGTGCCACGCTAGTAGTAACAGAAGCTATTAGAAACTACATCGACCACGTCTTTCCCACACCATTGCATGGACCCTCGTTTGACCGCAGAATCACTTGTCGCCTCCCGCTTCTCGCAGCTTCATCCGGGTTCCGACATATCCCCCAAACGGCGACACCAAAGACATGGGACTCTAATAGGAACCCTGTTTGTAGGGGGCATCCACTAATAATTCCGTTTCAGACCCTCCAAAACCACTCGACTTGCGTGTGCTTGTGACCTCCCCGACTTCCGACCATCCAATCCACTTGACCGCAGGCGGGTCTCAAGGATGGTGCCAAGCAGGTGATCTTCACTGGTGCGGACAAAGGCTGGGTACCCTTCAGCGCCGGATCCGGAAAGCTCACCATGAGATCAGAAGTGAACAAACGGCACTGTCCTGAAGATCGATTTCCGAAAGTCATGGAACATGGATATATACGAGTATATAATCACAAATATGTGGTGGTTTGTTTAATTAGTCATTCTGTGCCTCATGTGCTGTCACGTCGAATTGAAGCCCTAGAGTCCCTAGAGGCCCTAGACAACGTCGTTCTACTAGAAACGTTCTACTGGCAGATCTCCTTTCTCCAGGTGCTTCTTCCACTAGCCCGGTAGATGGTTCCGAACAAACACTTTGCTCCAACCTGGTGAAGAACATTTGGGGAAGAGGCCCAGCACATCCTGGACTTTCTGATTCTGGTACATTCTTCAAGGGCATTCCCCCAACAGTGCACCGTGCACCCTAATTTTTCCCCCCCTCTGCCCCTGCCGGTCATGGCGCCCTCCTGCCCCTAGTAGCGTCCTTGTTCCTAGTAGCGATGTCAGGAGCCCCTAGTAGCTTCTTGTTACTAGTGGTAAGGCCAGGAGCCCCTAGCAGCGTCCTTGTTCCGCAAAAGACCCGCACCTTGCCGAGGCGTCGAGGCAGGGAAGGTGCAGTACTACCAGCGCTCGCTGAGCGTGGAAGATGCCCTGCGAGGACACGCCACTGGGCCAGCACCAAAACGACGCTCCCACAGAAACGGATGGTTTCACGAGGAGTTGGCGCAGCGGAGGCATGATTCTGCAGCGTGTTAGGTTGGGGATGCATGAGAGAACCATGAGGATGCAGCACGAGGGTGGTTTTAACCACTAACCTTTTGACTCTGGGTTTTGGCAGAGCTTGGAGTGTGCAAGCTGACCACATGAGTGCAAAAAGGTCAATTATCAACCCCCCTCAGTTGCAAAGCATGTGTCAAAGCTTGTTTTTGTGTTGGATTGGTTGGCTGTTTGCTCAAATTTATCCTCAAAGAGCACTACCCGTTCAGAACCTGCAGAAGTCTCTGCGGTCATAAATCCATGAAGCGTTAATAGGTACCAAGTGTGCGATGCCCTGCTGCTCCTGCAAATTCTTTGAGAAACCAGTCCATCGAGTCCCCATCCTCTCTCCAAATCCAACTATTCAACTGGTCGGTTCGCCCTTCGTTCGCTCTTCGTTCGCCCTTCGTTCGCTCGTCCCGAGGTCATGTTGGTCTATGAGATGAATGGGGAGCCCTTGAAGCCAGCGCACGGCTTCCCCTTGCGCCTCATCGTCCCCGGCTGGTATGGCATGGCCTCGGCACCTTGGCCGGACCGAGAGGTGAGGCCGGACTCAAAGCGTCGGATGCACGGGTTGCCTGTTGGAATCCCGAGTGGAGCCGTGCAGCAGCAGTGCTGCAGCAGTGCCAGTGCGTTTTGGGCCATGAAGTGTGGCCCATTGTCAGTATTTTCGGGGCTCCAATCTCCGGCCCCGACACATTCCCGAGACAGGAGAAGCACGTGTCACTTCAGGTGAAATGGCTCACCAAAATTGAAGTGGTGGAAGGTCCTTGGTGGGGACATCAGATGGAGGCCGGGGCGTGCGCTTCGTGGCGTGACTGTACTTCAGCTGGGAAGGTTGGGGGACCTTTTGGGTTCAAGCCTTCAGTCAGCGAAGCTCATCAAGTTTCACCTAGCTATAGCATGAACTGTTGCTTAATGAGTTGGTAGCAAGGTGGTGTGTTTTCTGCTTCTGTCAAACCAGAGACATACAAAGGCCCATGAATTCATGGATCCGGATGTTCAATGATTTTCATAGGGCCATAGGAGAGGTGTGCTGGAATAGATACGTATACCACTTCTACTTGACTCCTTGAATTCTCAGGAATCGTCCACCAAGCAGTTTTTGTATGCTTTTGTGACGTATGCTACAATGTTTTTTCAGTGTCCTTTTCGACATGTGTCACAGTATTCGTGAAATCACCGGTCATATCAATACAGACTGTGTGCATGCAATTGACAATACGACATGGGTTTGCTGGTGTGCTGCGCTGAAGTTGTTAGTGGCATTGGATGGTGCATAGCCAGCCTGGCATCATTTCAGTCATTATTGCGATCGAGTACACCCTGCTCCAAGCAGCCAAGAACCTCAGAGATTTGGGCAAGAACCTCAAAAGATGACTGGACGAACCCACCCAGTGAGTCCACATTTGTTGTTTTGGGTTTTCACCTAGGCTTCACCAAAAGATCTAAGGAATTCCTCATTCTTCCGTTAGACTGGACCAAGGTAGCCCTCTCACACCGCACGGGGGAGGCCTACAGCTCCCCCATCTCACGCCGCTGGAGGCCTACAGCTTCCGCCGCGCGGCCAATGACCCCGAGCGCGTGCCGCTCACGCAGCTGCCGGTGCGTGCGCTGATGGCGCCGCCAGGCACTTGGGGCTGGAGGAGTCTATGAGCCATTGTGAGTGATTCACAGTGGTTTCAGGGAAGATGGCACAACCCCAAAAGGTGGTTTATATTGATCCCCATCTAATTAAAGGACATCTTGGGGTTTGTGCCATCTACTCTGGAAACCACTGTATCGAAACCGTAATCCATGATCCTTGAGCGGTCTATATGACATGATGACAACATTTATATATATATATTGTATATGCCCATCCACGTCTTGAGAAAACACAACTGAGTTTAAGGTTTCTTTGTGTGGTGGCCCACATGAAGTATACAGTAACAGTATCTGATATGTACATGGCCTCATATGTGGCCAACTTTAAGCTTTTTAGAGAAAATTATCATTGTGCCCACCATTTTGTTCGCTGGGGCTAGGAAGAGCTCTACCAACAAGAATGGTGTTTGGCAGATAATTTTGAGTCTGGTGGGGTCCCAATGAAGTGAATGGGGCTAACATCTTCCAACCAGACCCATGACAAACAACACTTTGTAGGTACTGTAGTCACTTGAACACATGGTCAGGAGGTTTGTTTCGCACGATTTGTCAGTACAAGACGACATGACCTTCAAACAAAACACCCTGCACTTTTGCTGCCTCTTCCAAACCCAAAGACCTGAGAATCTGGAGCGACAGATCCCAAGTCTTTGGTCAGGTGTGCCAGACTTCTTCTCCCGGACTCGGGTCGTAGAGCCCGGGACGCAGCGCATCACCGGGAAGGCGGGTGTTCTTCGGAAAACCAGAGGCCCCCAGACCGCCCAGCGTGCTGGGGAAACCAGGCCGCCCAGGAGGCCCCAGGAGCCCCAGGAGGGTTGAAGAGGCACCCAGGACTCCATGAACCGAAATGAACAGACAGAAATGAATAAACATCACGAACACATGTTAGTCAGCTCAAGGTGTTTGGAAGATACTATATAAGTACAGTAGATAAAGGTTCGGATAGTTAGTTCCTACTTTCGCAGGTTTGGGCTGGCGCTGTCGACATTGAACGTGTGGAAGTGTCCTGCGATCACGGCAAGACGTGGGCCCAAGCAACGCTGGAGGAGATCCGGGGAAGTCAATGAGGAACACTGGTGAAACCTCGCTGAACATCACTGGAAGAAGTCATTGCTGCCTCCTGAAAGGTAATGTTCCTACTGAAAGCGCAAGAGCTCAAATGAGCTCAACACGCTGGACACCCCTAAAATCCCCTCAACAACCAAACAGCGGAAGGTTGCTCCGTGGGTGCATTGTGGTTCACCACATGATTCTTCAGGCTTTGGGTGGAAAGAACGTCTATCCACAGGATCTGGCAGCCTCAGATGTGCTCTCAACAACCAGACCCAGCCACGATGTTTTTCCATACCTCCCATGTAACTGCTTTCCAGGCGAGACGGGACTAATCCAGACTGCCAGACCCCCAGTGGTACAGCCTGTCCATCTTGCTTGACAAGCCAGTGGTTTGGGGAGTGGGGCATGCAAAAGCTGTGGTGTCAGTGGATGCCTGATTGATTTTAGACAGGAGAAGAATGGTGTCTTTGGATGGGCCAACTGGTACTATGATTGGCAAACGCCTGGGGAAGGTGCAGCTGACGATGCAAAAAACGGGTGTTGCTGAAGTCCAGGACAGGAGATGTTGGAAGAATTTGTGACACTGGAGGAAAAGAGACATATTCTTCACAACATGTCTTCGCCTGTGCAGAGCTCAAAAGTTTGAACATACAACACTGTGGCTGTACACTGAGTAGTTCTACCTGCCATCAAAGTTGAAGTGGGACACTTTCTTCTTTGCTTTCCTTGGTTGAGAATGCTACAAGCAGCTCCTTTAGGCTATAGGCCATGCTGACATTGCTTTTGTGCGTGCATCAAGTTGGGGCATAACGCACCATCTTTCAGTGTTGCTATTGTTGCCCAATTTGATTGCTGTGAAGGCATCAATGAGGTTCAATCTTAGAAGCTCAAATACCAGTCAGCTGGTGTTGACATTCATGCCAAGACAGCGGACTGGAGACATCATCCACCCATCGTGCACCATCCCTTCCCCATATGACATAGATCACCAACCAGATTCCAGAGTTCCCAGATTCCTCCTCCAGATATCCTCCAATCCATGGATGGACGTGATGGCCTCATTGGCTTGGACATGTTCCTGAAGAATTTGAGGTCTTTTGGACCCGGTAGCTTCCTCTGGATCTCTGATGCTCAGGGAACTTCGTGCTGATGTGCCGCGGCTTCGACAAGAAGGGCCGAAGCCAAGACCCCACCAGCGATGAGGCATTCAATTGGACAGGCCGCTCGCTGAAGCGCTGAAGCCAGGGAACATGATGGAACCTGGATGAGCATGGTATCCTTTGTTGACTCTGTTGGGTGTGATCATGTCATGTTTGATTGGGACATGAAGAGAAGTGACCACGGTCTCAGATGAGACCACTCGTTGTTTTGGAGCAAGCTGAGGCATGGGTGACACCCAGCCACAGATGGTCTACGTGAGGCCACAGATGGTCAACCTGGGCATGAATCTGATGGGCTCGCAGTTCACAGACTTTGCCTCAATCCCCACGTACCAGTATTGCTTTGGGAGTTGTTGAACAAGTTTGATGTTGAAGAAGCACTAGCACCCTTCCTAGTATGTACTACTCAAATCTGCACTTCTTCAAGTTGCACAACAAAAGGATTTTGAAGCATCAGCTCTCAAAAGGCACCGGAAGCTGGCCGAAGTGAGATTTAGGATAATTAGGGGGTGTGGACAGGCTCACAAGTGGTCCACGCGCTGGTGTTAATACGTTGTTGGAGAGGCTTTAGAGGTTTTGGTGATGCTGAAAATGCAAGGTCAGTACCCACCGTTAAAAACAATATCATTGAAGTAATCACTGTGGTGAACTTGGCCACTATAGTTGTTCGAACATGATATATAACTTATGCGGAAAAGACACAACATATTTGGACACGTTTTGAAACAGTCCTTCAAGTACAGGACTGAAGAATGAAGATTTGAGATTCCTCAAAACAGTTTTTCCAGCAATCTTCAATCCATTTGGAGGATTGAAGGCTGGGATCTTCAATCCCTGGGCTGCAATTGGCAATAATAATAGCTACTTGGGTCAAGTCTCAAACTCTCAGATGGTTGGGTGGCTCTTTCAGCCTTTTGTAGGGAAAGTAATGTGGACTGTTGCTACTAGCCTTTGGAGGTATTTAGGTGCCATTAACCTTAACTAGTTTAAACCTCCCGATTGCTTTGGAGAGAATCACAGCAAAAGCTGCTTGGTATACCTGTTGTTTGTGAAAATCAGCCTCAGAGATTCAAGTGAAACATTGATGGCGCTAATGTAGTTGTCGGTGGTGCCGGAGCTGGGCTGTTGAATCACTGGATTTGCTTGATCTACTTGTAGGGATAATATTGAATTAGTTGTTGATAGCAACGGTATTGTGCCTAAAGATGGTCTTGCTAATACGTGGACAAGTGATGAAAAGTACATTTGCTAATCATACATGTGTTTCTCTTGGACAAGCTATGGTTGGTGCTTATGTCTTCATAGGATTGGTGACACTTCATATGGTAAAGTCTATGGCTGCAAATCCAATATTCTTCGCTAAAGCTAGCCTAATACCTGATATCTTTCCCCAGGTTATATGCAGAGTGTGACAAGATGTAGCAGTTGTGGCTGGGAGATAAGGTTATCTGAGATCTGAAACAACTGAAACATATGAACATATATAAACATATATATATATATAATAGCTGTTTCCGAACAAAAATTGGAGGGTTGCTGGATGCCCGGGATGTGCCTGAGTTTGCAAAAGCCAGCACATAACACCAAGAGATACACTTTTGTTGAAAGGATATTGTGTCACTCCTAAGATTCAATATCAATGTAAAGTACCCTGGTTACGCGATGTTGTTTAAATCTTTTGTGATTTATTTTCTTGCATTGCTATCATATGGATGTGTCAGTCAACTTATGCAAATAAGAGATTTGTGTACGGAGCCTGCTGCAGTGTTGCCCTTTGTTATACTATACCTCTAACAGATGCTGGTTTATGTCCTGATTAACGGTTACTTTAGTAGTCAGATACTGTTTGAGAGGAGGGTGTGGTGCCATCTATATATCTATCTAAATATAATATGTCTTTGCGGGAAGGGCCGCATTCGAACCTTTTCCGACACAAGACACGCTCTTCGGTCTACATTTCTTCCGAACAACATGGTTAACATTATGAGAAGAAAAGGTACTCATGACATGGATCCACTGCAAAGGTCTCAAGAAGCTGCAGCAGTTTCGTTCACCCCCTTCTCAGGTAAACATGTTGATATCTCACTTCATGCCCTGTGACCGACTCCGCCCCCCCAAAAGAAGGCCAAGAGCTACTAGTAGGTAATACGTCGTAGCGTCCGATCCTTCCGTCTCGGCGGTTTTCCTTGAGACCGTCTCGGCGCCAGGGTGGATTCGAAGATCCAAGACGTGGGAAACCAGATCAATCTCATCCCGGAGACCCGTGCCGCCAAGAAGAGCCTGAATGTGGCGACGACTGATTCTTGGAGCGCGAACGGGACCGGGCGACTTTGCAAGTCTTTTTGGGTAGGCTCGCGGGCTGGCTGGGATCATGGGGAAGTAAAGAAACTATAGTATCTAGGTGTGAGTATGAGTGGAGTTTTGCGTGCTGAGGATACAAGCATTTGAGGTGGGTTTCTGCAGATTCAGATTGGAAGACCACCCTGGGATCAATCCCATTTCAGACCACCCAGCCAGTTTCTTGGCTTTGGATCTTTAGGCCGAAGAATCCGCTTCTCTGGTGGGAGGCCGAACGAGAAAGTGACCCGAGTTGGCCTAGCAGATGAACCACAGAACGGGACGTCCCGTTGGATTCGGTGGTCTGGACCTTTCGATTCGAGAGGGGTGTTCGTTCCGCGAGTTTCTCCAAAAGAAAAGAGGTGTCTGCGTATGAGTTTTTGGAGACTCCTTCTGGACTCCTTCCAGAAGTGCCTGAGAAGGAGTCCAAAAGAAGCACCACGTGTATTAGTGTACTGCAGAAATCTGCAGGACTGCTTCTGGAAGAGTTTTTGGAGACTTGAGATGTGTTGATGAACCCAGCTATTTAAGCCTCTGAACTTCAAGGATAGTAGGTGTGGTTTTGGACTTGTACCTGGCGTCCACGAAAAGACAACAGTGGAATCAGCATCCCCCATATGAGTGTGAGTTTCAATGTCAAGATGTGCCCAGCTTTTCTGGGTGCATGTCCAACTTAGGATGGAAAGCCTTTGGCGACAGGTGCTTGTGATGCCCTGTACAGACAACCAGGAAGCCAGTGACGGGAAGTGGATGAAGCATTGCTTCGATGTGGCATGAACGGGATGGAGAGGAGTTCGTTGAGTCCGTGCCGAAGTGTTCCGTGATTTGCCGATTGACTACTAAACTGACTGCATACAATGGCCAGTTCGGACTCAAATATCCCGGGGGCGTTACGAGGCAGTTCTTTTGGGCAAAGACGTGCCTTGAAGCAGAAGCCTTCGGTGTGGCACAGAGGGGGCTATGGTGAGAGCATTTTAAGAGTTTCAATAGTTCTTGTTCAAAAGATCTTGAGGTCTCAAGTCAACCTGAAATTCAGGAGTTGTTGCAGCCAGGAGGCAATGATTTTCCCAAACACTGGTACACCATAATGTGTTTGGGAGCTAAGGCATTTGTGTACCCCTCATTCGCTGGTTGGTTGAGATTTGTGCAACATGTGACCGAGTCCAAGAAGCATTGATTCACACCTTTGGAGGAATCACCGTTTTTCGCTCTCTCGGTTCTCAGTTATCAGGTCACAAGAGAACATCTTGGCTTCTCCACCTTGATTCCGATCCCACCTTGCCAGGATGGTAAATGTTTCTTTAAACTTCAAATGACGAGCTGAGTTTTTTGAGATGAATGGATTTATACACATATTGACCATCACAAAAGCTGATCAAAAGTCTGGCGTAGACATTCTTCTTGTGGGCGTGTCTACCCCCTGTAGGCATTTTGGCACGGTCGCTTGTCTTACGCAGTTGCCGTAGGCAACTTTTTCCAGATGTTTGCTTGCCCCCTGATGAATCCTGAGGCATTGAGGGTAGGGACGAGGAATTCCTTTCAGAAACTAGCCTAGGACATGGAGATCTGTTTCGTGATTTCCACACTTGCTGTAGTAACGAAGCCGAACGGGGGGCTTTTCCGGCTTGATGTGGCCCACTGGGTCTCTTACCCTTTCGAGCGAGTTCTAGAATCCGTGGAACCCCACATACACGACGTCCCCTTTGTCGTATCTTTTGGCCATAGCTGCAAATCTGCGGCACAGGCGCTGGCGGCATATGTTTGCAGCCATCATTGATCTTAGATTTACATGCTGTGCGTGGCACAAAAGTCCCTCCAAAGAAACGTGTCAAAGGTACTCTGCGCATTGCCAGCATGTTCCGCTTGAGACAGCAGAAGATGACCCCAAGACAGCACGTGTCTTCAAGGATGGTCATCATTGATCAGCCGATTGGTCACACCACGTCATACCGCGATCGCGAATCGTGCAAAGTCCTTCACCTGGTTTCTCCGCTCGAAAGCGTGGAGCAACACCAGAATGATGTCAGTGAAGGAGACCGTTGTGGGTTCAAGACCGTTTTTTTTAGAATTGCGTAGGCAATGTTTCTTTGGTGAAGTGTATGTTTGGCCTGGTCATTGTTCACTTTCTGGAATCCCCTCTTCATCTTGATCCTGCAAGTATAGTTTCACATAAACCACACACCCTTGGGCCAAACAAACATCTAGCAACTCTCAAAGTACCAAAATCTCCATCCTAGTGGGCCTCTGATACGAAAGCATCCTTTCGAACCTTCTAACAACACTGTATATCTTTTGAGTAAGAGTGAGATTGCGGCACCGGATCACCGGATGTGACCGGACACCGAGCTTCTTCATTGGGCCGCATCGGACCGCTCCGCAGCCGCTGCTCCGTCCGGTGCCGTGCCGCTCCGTGGGCATGGCAAACAAAAAGAGGCCGGTCGGACAGAACGTGCCGCGAGCTTTTGAGGCGAAATGCCAGGAACCTGTTTCGGGTGCTGTGGCAAGTCCTGTTTCGCTTCTTCTTGCCTGGAAGAGAACTTCAATGACACGGAAACTGAGTGACTCAAAGTAAGCATCGAACGTGGGTTGGTGGGTACCCATTCAATGCAAAGGAAAATGACAGGCCAAGTCCAAGGTGTCGAAGGAGTTCTGGCCATTCCTCACCAGACATGCTCCTAGAACTTCAGGGATATGGGCCATGTAGCCCATTTCTTTGGTGCACCGACAGTGCTCTGACACTTGAGCTGGTTGCCCACGTGGCGTTTTCTGGCAGGAAGCTTACCGCTTCCTTCTTGGAGATTCCCGAAGAGAAGGAGCACCACTTGAGATGGCTATTTAGATCATTTGCGTCATTTCCCAATCTGAACTATAGAATTCACAAAGTGTCTTCTCGCTCACAGAACATCCAGAAATCAGAGAAACAAGCAAGGCATCGACCAGGGGGGGTCCCTTTCTATCCTTGTGTCCCCAATTTCGGCCGTTTGAGCCGGTTGGAATGAAGGCGGAATCCTGCGGCCAACTGCTGAAGTCGATATCTAATCGGCTCAATATATATAGATATGCACATAGATATTATCTATTGAAGCTCAAAGGGCCTAGGGACTGAGGTATGCCAGGTGTTGCCTGTTCATCAACAGACAGCAAGGTCTTTCTGCACAGAGCCCAAAGCAACCATATGCAAGGAGATGAATCAACAAGTGTTCCAAAGAAAACAGTCCATGGTGCTTTGTTGCCCAGATGATTCACGGTGATCAGCCAGCCAGTGGGCGATGCAAAGCTTCATTCGGCTGGGCTGTTTTGTTTTAAGAACAAATGGTCAAAAATGGTCCAAAACCCACCGTCTGAGAGCTGGTGAACGCGTACCAAGTTCAAGGAAGTTTTGGTTCTGTGGGGACACAGTTTGCAAAGAAGAACATATGAAAACAAGTTCCTTCCTAAGGCAAGGCAAGGCCAGGTCCTGAAAACGAACGAGACTTAAGAAAACCGCTTAGGCTATCTCTGATGGTTTTTTCCAAATAAAAAGAAAAACGCGAAAAAAACAACTACAAAAAGCAAAAGCAAAAAAACGAATCCAAAAAGCAAAAAAACACAAATGAAAAAGCAACAGCAAAAGCAAAAAAACAAGCAAATCCAAAAAGCAAAAAAAAACAAATTAAAGAAACAAAAAGCGAAACAAACAAGTGAAAAAGAAAGCCAATGAAAAAAAACAGAGCAAGCGGAAAAAATGTGGGCAAGCAAAAAAGCAAACAAAAGGTGAAGAACAAACATAAATAAAAACCATAAAAACAGCGAACAAGAAGCAAAGAAAAAGCGGAAAATTGCGTTTGCTTTTTGGATGTGTTTTTTTGATTTTGCTTTTTGATTTTATTTGTTTTTTGGATTTGTTTTTTTGCTTTTGCTTTTTCCCCAAACAGGTTTACCTGTGAGGGGTTCTTACTCCTTTTAAAGGGGTGCAAGCTCGGGCCGGATGATTTTGAGTTTGTCTCCGGGCTTGTGTTCCTGGCCGCATGATTTCACCCTTGTCTCCCAGTAAGCTCTGGATGCTCTGAGTGCTCTGGCCGCATGATTTCACACTTGTCTCCCA